TTATATATATTAGAAACAATAATGGTCCTAAGATAGATCCTTGAGGAACCCCGCAATTTATAAGCTTTTTTTTGGTTTCATTTGTTTCATAGGTTATGCATTGTTTTCTGTTAGTCAAGTAGTTTTTAAACCAAAGTAAGTTTAAGTTGTTTACTCCATAAAGTTTTAATTTTTTTATAAGGATTTCATGATTGACAGTGTCAAATGCTTTGGATAAATCAATGAAAACTCCTAAGGTAAAATATATGGTTTACAAGCTCAATTACCGCGTGATCCGTAGAATGATTTTTTTTAAACCCAAATTGTTTGTTGTACAGAATATTATTTGATACTAGATGATTATAATGCCTATTGTACATAATGCGTTCTAGCAATTTAGAGAAACAAGGTAATACAGAAATAGGTCTATAGTTTGAAACATTTGTTTTTTCACCTGACTTAAAAATCGGTGTGATTTTAGCTATTTTATGTTTGTCTGGTACAATACCAGACGTTAATGAGAGATTAAAAATGTGAAACAATAAGGGTTCAATAATATCAAAGACTGATTTAACTACTTTGACGCTAATTTTATCTATGCCTGCACTTTTGTTATTTTTCAGAGAGCAAAAGGCATAATGCAACTCACTTATATTTAAACTTAGTTCTGTCATAACATTATTTGCTGTTTTGAGGTATGTTTCAAATTTTATGGTACTAGATGGAATTTTAGCCGCCAGATTTTGACCAATCTCAAGAAAAAAACTGTTTAGCTTTTCAGCTATGGTTTCTTTGTCATAAACAACTTTTTCATCAATTAACAGTTTTTGTGGCAAATTGTTTTTAATCGAAATATTTTTGCCAAATATTTCTTTTATTATATTCCAAGTTTTTTTTGTATTTCCATTATTTTTTTCCAATAGCTTTTCATAATAAGATTTTTTTGATAATTTTTTGGTTTTTTCAAACAAATTTTTGTAGTTTTTGTATATTATTTCATTGTGATATGTTTTATGTCGTAGATATTTTTCATATAGTTTTTGCTTTTTCTTTGAAAATTTGATTAAATCTTTTGTCATCCACGGATTTTAAATAGACTTAGAATTTAAATTTTGTTCGATTAAAGGAAATGCCTTATTATATTGTTTACTAAAAAACGTGAGGAATAATTCATAAGAATTATTTGCATTTTGTGTTTCATTCACTAAGTTCCAATCAACAGAATTTTTTAATAGATCGCGAAATCGTGCTAAGGAGTTTTCATTAATTTGACGTACCAAAATTTTTGAATTTATGGAATTGCTTTTTAATGTCATGTTTTTAGTGGTTAGAAAGATCGGAAAATGATCACTTATGTCGGTCTTAATTATGCCTGTTCTTATGCAGGATTTGTGAAAATTGTTTGTTATTAAGTGGTCGACTAATGTTGAAGATGTCTTTGTTATTCTTGTTGCCTAATTTATTGTTGGAATAAAATTATATTGCAAAATGGTGTCAATAAAGCATTTAGCATCATTTTTTGATGCATAATTTAAAATGTTTATGTTAAAATCTCCAACTAAGTATACATGTTTCCGATTTTTACTGGTTAGGGTTAGAAAATTTTTAATTTGAGCTTTAAAATTTTTTAAGTTTCCAGCTGGTTGTCTATAAATAGAGTTTACGAAAATGTTTTTATCCTTTTTATTTATTATTTCAATGCATAACGACTCACAATCTGTTTCATTCACGCAAAGATCATTACGGTGAATAAAATTTAATGAGTTGTGAATAAAAACACTCACCCCACCACCAGCATGTTTATGACGCGATTGATGAACTGATGCGTAATTGGCTAATTCAAAACGTGCGTATTTTTCACTGTTTTTAAGCCACGTTTCTGTAAGGCAGATAATTTTAAAATCGTGTTTGAGGTTATGCAATAAAATTTTAAAGTTTTCAAAGTTTTTACTCATACTCCGAATGTTCAGAGTTAAAATTGAGAAAGCATTATTGTTCTGAGAAAGAAAATGAGTAGATTCAGAAATTGAAAAATACTCAGTTTCAAAGCTTTTTTCACAAAAAAAATTTTCATTATCATTATCACTAAGCTTTAGATCTTCGTAGTTAAATTTTGTAGAAAAGTTATCCTCCATTTTAAAAACTTAAAATTTTAAATAAAATAAAGAAAGAATAAGGTAATATATATACATGAATAAAAAAGAGTTAAAATATAAACGAACCTAATTCTTTTTTCGATTGGAAGCCTAATCACGTATGATCAACCTATCGTACGAAATAAAAGCGTATTTCCCTGCTGCTCGTTCTACTTTCATCTTTTCTTTTAAAGCTCTTCTTATTTGTGTGGTCTCCGGACAATAGTCTTCAATGATGAAAGTATTTTTTCCTTTTAGATGATAAGATTTTTTAAGAATTTCTGTTTTATCTTTGAAATCCAAGAGTTTTAGCACGATCGTTCTTGGCTTTTTTGCATCTTTCTTGCCAGTTCTGTGAGCTCGTTCTATTTTAACATTTTTTACATCTAGATAATCTTCAAATAATTTTTTAACCTTTGATTCGGTCTCTTCCCAGCTTTCGTTTTCATTCTCTTTTACACCGTCTACTCTTAAGTTATTTCGCCTTGAACGATCTTCCATTTCCCTTAACTTGTTTTTTATTTTAAGGAATTCCGAGTTTACTTTAGTTATTTCACTACCAGATGGATTTATCTTTTCCTGATAACTAATTGCAGTTTTTATTTTATCATCAATAAGTTGTTCATGAAAATTTAAGCTCAATTTCATTTCTTCAACATCCTTTATTATTGACTTAACTCGTTCGGCATTGTCGTTTATATTTTTTTCACTTTATCTAAGCGGTCATGAACTATTTTTGCGCTTGAACTTACAATGGCTATAATGTTTTTTTCTTGTTGTTTTAAGATTTCTTCAAATTGTTTTTTGTAATCACTAAACATCTCCTTCAATATATTTTTAATGTCATCTCGAGTAACTGCCATAATTAAATTTATATGATTGATAAAATCTTGATTCAATTATTTCGATAGATAGAAACTTATTACACAGTTACTAAAATGTATCAGTTTGTATTTTTTCTGTAGTTTTATTATTAAACTATTATTTAAAGATATTTTTTAATAACAACTTTTTAGATTAAAACAAATTCTACACCATAAAAAAAAACACGTCCCATCAGGGTTAATATCAATACTGGAGTTAATATCAGGGTTAATATCAATACAGGGTTAATATCAATACAATAAATCAATACTGGAGTACCAAAAATATTAAATAAATAAAAATCATTATCATATTGTTTCTATCTATGTGTTACAAATATCTATGGTTTTCAGAAAAAATTTCACCCTTTAAATTTTTCTTTGTGTGAATAATTTAAACTTGGTTGATTCACTTAAAGATCTCATTGTAATGGACTCCAAAAGTCCATTACACTAAGTTAATGGTTATAAAGGGTTTTCTGGAAAAAAAAATTTAACTTAATATGCTTTTTTGCGATAGTAATTCATAATTTACAACTCAACTTTTCTTTGCTCGAAAAAAAATAACAGGATAACAATATATTCTATGAATAAGTGTTCTTAAAATCTCGTATTTAAAAGGTGATCTCAAACTTTTGTATTCAAAAAATTATTTTTAAACTCTCATTTTGAAAACTTTGAAGAAAAGTATTTTACAATGTATTATAAAAATTCTAAAACATGACAAAAAACTATTTTGTAAATTAAAATGAAATTTATTTTTTCATGCAAAACTTATGACTGCAATGATTTATGTAAAAAAATAAGAAAAGGATTTTAAAACCTGTATTATAAAGATCATATAAAAAACATCTCTACCATGAAGTGAAAATGATTGTAAGTACTTGATTGATTATCTTTTGTAAGTACTTGATTGATCATCTTTTGTAATTACTTGATTGATTATCTTTTTTAAGTAATTGATTGATTAACTTTTGTAAGTACTTGATTGATTATCTTTTGTAAGAACTTGATTGATTATCTTTTGTAAGTACTTGATTGATTATCTTTTGTAAGTACTTGATTGAGTATCTTGTATAACGACTTTGAAAGCATAAGACTTTAAGAATATAACTTAGAACTTTGTGAGCTTCAATAAATAATTCTGAGTATTATATAACAAAAAAGTTGAATTTGTTTATGAACCATCTCATGAGTTTTCTTGTATGACTCTTTAATCTTAAAATAAGAATGTTGCTGAATTTTCCCTATTCTTTATAAACCTTCATTTTCGCTATTCTTTATAAACGAACCAAGTATAATCAAAAAGATCTGCAAAAATCTTTAAAATTATTCAACAATTATTTTTCTAACCATAGTATTAAAATTTTCTTAATAACACTCTCCTTTGTCTCCAGTAACAACTAGAGTACTACAAAGTTCCATCCTTGTTCCTGTTGATTGATTCTCATCTTTATCTCCAGTAACAACTAGAGTACCACAAGGTTCCATCTTTGTTATTGATTCTTATCTTTATTTTTAATTTTCTTTATAATCTTACAACTAAAGTTTTTACTAATGACACAACTAGATCCAGTTTTCATAAAAAATAAAAAAATAAAAATGTTTTTTGAACACTAACAACTAGCAGCCAGTTAATTTAGGTTAAAATTTGGGTTAAAAACAGAAAAGAAACCTCAAAAACTTTTGTTTTTTAATCACTATTATCACAATAATTATTAATGTTGACAAATATTTTATGTTTCACTGTTGACCTTTAATGGAGATCGTATATTCAATTCACTTTATTAAATCTAATTTAAATCATTCATTTTTATTATATCACTATGCCTCATAATTAATAACAATATCAAAAACAAGTAAAAAATCTCAATAAATGAACATTAGTTATGAATTTTATAACTTGATAACAGTTATTGGCTCTCCTATTTATAAACAAAAAATTTAGCACATTTAAGTTCATTTTATTTATCATGAGTTCAACAAAAATAAACATAACACCATTTAATAACTAAAAAAAAACCTTTTGTGATGTTCTTTGTGTTATTTTGCTTTTCTTCTAACGCAATTTCCCACAAAGACTTTTGAGTACTAAATATAAAAAATTGGCTTTAAATTAAAATTTATTTACAATAGCAAAACTATTCTCCAAAAAATAAACAACTAAAACAACAGAAAAAAGCAAAGTAATGTAAACTGTAATAACAAGATTTTTATTATATATATTATTAGAAGCGATTTCTATTAAAAAATATTTAAGGAAATTTTACATTAAAAACATTTTACTACAAAATTTTTTATTAAAAAATATTATTAGAAAAGATTTTTATTAAAAAAATAAAAAAAATTTTTATTAAAAAAAATAAAAAAAATTTTTATTAAAAAGATATTAATAGAAAACTGCAATATCAAGATTTTTATTATTTAGGAAACAAAATTAACTAAAAAAATATTAAAGCAGAGGACACATTCAGGCTGAGGAGACAGCAAATAAAGACCAAGGTAGTTTGTACAGGTAGAGCCTGAAGAATCAGATAACTGGATCGTTGAGGGGACAGGATTTAACGAGAGAAAACAGAAATTGCAGAAGCAGCATAACTGGAAACCACTAAATCTGCCAGGTAAAGAATTTACAAGTAATTAAAATATTAAGTAATAATTAGTATAGTGTAAATTTACAAATAATTAAAATAATTACAGAAATTATAAAAGCAGACTATAACATATTTTTGCACCATTTCGAAGAAATTTTAAATTAAGAGTTTACAGTGATAAAATGTTATAAAATAACATAATATGGAGAGAGAGTATGAAGCTGAAAATGAAGAACCAACTTTTGAGTAGCCATTTTTCTTGTCCTGTTTCCCATTTGTAAATGAAGTATTAACTAATTTCAAGATATTCAATTAATATATTCAGATATAATAATAAAAATTTTTTTTTTTATTATTATATCTTTCTTTTTCTAATTTTTTATTTTTACTGTTTATGTTATTAATTTAAGATTTGTTTAAAAAAACATATTCTGCCTAAAGTTAATGCGTTAGTCCAAAAATAACACCTGATTTTTTTATTTTTACTGGCACAAAGCATTCCAAATCTTATTGCCTATAATATTGAAACTTATTCCAAATCTTATTTCCTATAATACTGAACTTGGATAAGTGAGAAAAATGAAGGTGCTGTAACAAAATTTAGTAACAAATACCTTTTTGTGTGTTTCTTTATTAGTTTGTCATAGATGTAAAATAATAATGCATTATTTCCATTTTATGTTGTATATTTTATATTCTATATTTTAAATTGCTTATATTATATTGCATAATCTAAATTGTAAATTTTATAGCATATTTTTTAATTTAATTTTTTTTTATTTAAACTTTGTTGCAAAATCTCCCTAATATAATTTATTATCTCTCTTATATTGAATGCTGAAACTACTTGACTTCTTACGAGCTTCCTTTTACAAGCTATTTTTTTTAGAAATTCTCATGTAATCTCAAGAAAGAGCTTTAAAACACGTTTTTGATTCTGTGGCCCAATACAGTGGCAGTAATAATTACTGAACTTCCATTGTTTAAGTTATTTCTCCCTAGTTATAGCTCTCTTCTTCTCATAAGGTCAATTTATATGGTGTACATCGAAAAGTTTTTGAGATTATTGAATTATTTCATTATAACTTCAGAATTCAAGTCATTTTTGAAGGCCAACACTCTTCTTCATTGCTAGTAACTTCTTAGGACTACAAGGTTTTAGTCCTGTATTGTTTTTCAGTTATATTCTTAATCTTCCTAACAACTTTACATCAACAAAGCCTCTTATTGCTGACGACATAACTATACACTCCTGACTTGAAACTCTAGACTTAACAAAAATCCATCACTTTTTGATTGCTTAGAACAGAGAGCCAATCTTTAATTTGGTCTCTATTCTTAGAGGTTGCATTGACTTGTGAATTTTAACTGTAACACAATTCAGTTACTACATACAATTGTTGCAATATTGTTGATATTTCTAAATCAGCCCATGGAATCAGGGTCGGCGTTCAACAACGCCATCCTAATTGCCAACTTAAAAGTATTTAAGGTCTGCAAAAAATTGTTGACCTTGTTTCTATGTTTTATGGTAAGTTCTTTGTGTCATTTTTTTTTTACTAACCTGATGCCAACTTCTAACAGTAGAAGGCTTGCAATTTATTGCCAACCTCATTTTTCCTCAATGCCCAGGTCTGTTATATTGATGAATGACAACACTCTCAATGAGTCTTCATACTTTACATTGTTTACTACTGATCTCTAGTAAGTGACTAAGTTCCAGCCCAGAAAAACTATAAGATTTAGCAGAGTTTGATAGGACAAATACAATAGATAGTTGAACAAATTGACATATATTATTCAGTAAATATTTCCCATCGTTGATGTTTAGAGTGACCCCAAAAATGTTTAATCATCCCATGTGCAAGATTCTAAAGAAAAACAGTTAACTTTTCATCCATCTGGGTAACACATGGTAATATTACCATATTTTGGGTTTACATCCACTAATTCAACATAATCAACAAGATAATTATTTTTGTTTGTTAAAACAAAACGTCTAAGAAAAATGGGACCACAAGTTAAACATGAGGGTGATGAAGTTCCAGATGATGAGCGCCAAGGGAAATTAAATGAACTGCTATCTGGACATGGAATAGCAAATGGATACCAGGAATATGTTTAGAAAATCTAGAAATAAAGTAAATAAACATTTATTTCTGAATTAGAAGGCAATAGTCCTTTAAAGTCTATACTGAGACAATTTATAGGAAATATGAATTTGATTAACTCGGTGACATATGCACATTGATAACACATTGATTTTAATTCTGAAGAAACATGGGAGTTAGAGCAAATTTTCTTACCCTCCTCTGAAGGAAAAGGTAAGCTTTTAGAATTACAAAGTGAAGCATACAAGTGAAATGACTCCTGAACTATTTTTAAGGTTTTTGTTTTTCGGTTATCAAACATAAAAGCTACAGAACCCCGATTAGTGGTTAACTAGAATTGATTTTATACAATAAATTTCAAAAAGCTACAATAAGTATAATATATGTTGGTTTGTTTCGCAAAATCAAAAAACAAAATTTGTTCGATTGCTGACATTTCTTATAGTAAAAAATTTTTTTTTTTAAGTTTTATTTTAAAGATCTACAATGAATTTAAATCAATAAACGTTTAATTTGGAACTAATATCTTTTTATAGTAAGCAACAGGGGTTAAAATTTGACCGGGGCAGGGGACGGGTTTGATAAAAGATAGCCGGAGTTGGGTCCAAAGCCGGGGCCGAAACTAGGTTTGTGACCGGGGCTGCATAAACATTTATGCACCTGAAAGTATATTTTTTTCATTCAAAATTTATGTTATATTTTGTATATATTTTGTTATATGCATATACAAACATCATTATGATCAATATGATTATTAAAATCATCATTACTATCGTTTTTTTCTAATCTGTTTAAGATTATGCCTTCTTTCCTTGTCATGTTAAAGTCACACCACACATCCATCTGATCATCTTCTCTTTCGGTAAATACTACACAAAAAAAATTCTAAAGTTTACATAAATATGTGAGGATATTGTATGTTAGCATCTAAATAAATAGCAAACATATATGTTTATATCCATATTATGAATGCATAGATGGGCATCTTTTCATGGATCTGATTTTTCATAGGTCTGATCTTTTTTTCTTCTCTCTAGAATAGGAGCATAGTTATTTGGAAAGAACTTTTTTGATAACTTGAATGGCCATATTCTTCCGGTCATACCAGTTAAACAGATTAAACCATTGTTAAACATTCAAATCACTCTGGCGTCCAACGCTAAAGTTAGTTCTCAATTATATCTAATGTTTATAGTTCACACAAGATTTCCATCATAGTCTTAAAAAAGTGTTATCCAGAATTTATTTTAACTTTTGCTAAACTATTAAAAAGTGCTAAATAAGTGGTTCCAATTTTAAAAACTCTAGAAAACACTTTGACCTCTTTAACTATCTAACAATCAGTCTTCATTCTGTTATTAATTTCTTTATATAATGTGTTTTAGATTATTAAATCATTCCTTTCTAACTGCAGTATTAAAGATATTCTTGAAGACCTACACTGTTCTTCATTTCGAGTAATATTAAGGGTACCACAAGGTTCTTTGCTCCTGTATTGTTTCTTATCAACAATAAGGATCTTTATAAAAATTTTACATCTAAAGTGGCTCTATTTGTTAACGACTCATCTTTATACTCTTGCCTTGACAAAAAAGTCTTCACTTTTTGATTGTTCAGAACAGGCACCCAATTTTTAATTTGATTTTTCTTCTTTAACAACCTAAGGCTTGCAGTGGTTTATGGATTTTAATTCTGCACTTAAAATTCACAATTTTTGTTAGACAAATAAACTCATTTAATTACTGCAAAAAATATTGTAATATTTTTGGCATTCCAATAATAACAACAACAACCCTCTTACTTTTAGACAAAGTCTAAAAATACATTGCAAATTTAATTAGACCTGCTTTATCTGCCAAGCTTGAGACACTCTCCCATTGTTGTAAATTTGTATTTCTTTCTTTTTTTTACAAATACTATTATGGTCAAAGCTCAAACGAGCTATCATTATGATAAACCAAAACTCATTTTTGCTTGGTTTCTTATTCAACAAGTTGCATCTTTTTACTGTATTTTTTCCTTTGTGCTTTAAAAACTTTTATTAATCCAGTTTTTTTCTTTGCATACCAAAAAATCTTATAACTCTTACCCATTTCATCTTTTCCTTTTTTATAAAACCTACAACTTTTTAAATCTTTAGTTAACCACTTTTCTAGCTTTTTAACCCTATCCTCTATTTTAAAGTAACTCATAACTTAATAGTAGTTGCTTTCAACCTTGTTAAAACTAAATAAGAGTTTAAAAATATATAAGTATATGCCACTATTTAATATAGTAAATGTGAGTATAAAATTATCATATGTAAAGTATTATAAATTTTTATGTAGCCGTGTTTGCAAAAAGGGTCATTTTTAGCTGGGGCCGGAGCTGGGGCCCCTGTCAACTCCTATCATTATACAAAAACCAGAGATATAGCAATATGTAAACAATGCTAAAAAAAAAATAAAACAGCAGTTGGAAGTACTAGTGGTTTACATAGTTATCAAAAGAGTCAACTTATATAAGTGCGTTAAAAAGAAATATAGAAGACTGCTAAAAAAAACTGGCAATTACTATAGCATAAAATTACTTTTTTTTAAAAAAAAACAACGAATCTCTTGAAGCTGTACTTTTCGAAATTGATTGCAAAAGATGGCGTTCCTTTAAATAAATTTTGTAAATCTGAAGATTTAAAGATATTATTGAAACCAAAGGCAACATACAGATACCAAAACTGCCCAAAACCATTTAAAAAAAAAAATAATTTATCAATTTTGCAACCTATTATGTTTGCCGTTAAAACACTCTGTAAAGGTTAATTTATATGTAGCCAAATTTATGCTAGATGAATTAAGTAACCAAAAGACTTTTTTAAGCATTGCACTAAAAAAAATTATTAATGTTATCAGACGTTTTTTACTATATAACCGACTGTGGTTCTTTCTGTTAAAGGCAATATGGTATTTTTATTATCAGCTGTAAAGTCACAATAATTTTAAGTATTGTTGAGGTTGTAGAAAGCATCTTAAACACTAAGAATGCAGAATTTGGTGATACTGTTAAACCTAATTCTGATTTTTCTATGAAGGAAAAACTTCATTATTTTAACAAAAAACAAACAGACAAGAATTAAGAAATAACTGTTTTAAAAAAGTAACAATAAAAATCTAAAAGAAATTATAAAAAATGAGCTAGAGTACAGTGCCGTACCGAGCGTTAGTTTGGGCGCTACCGTTTATACAAATTTTTTCCTCTCCCCAATCTCTTTGATATGGAAGCCTCCATACCAGGATCCATGGAAAAGGGCTGGTATGTAGTAGCTTCCAATATCATGCATCTGATGGAAATTCATACTAAAATTTATATTAACATATTTTGTGTTTAGGAGGTAATTCAACGATGGAAAGAAACGTATAAAAAAAGAAATTATGTTCTCTTATAAAAACAGTTTTTAATTTAAAAGGCGTTTAATAAAAGTTACTAATGTATCGTTTATGAGGGAATCCTTCTTTTGGTACTGTCTCGAAATCTATCGATGATTGATTCCCACATTTCAATACTTAATTTATCAGGACCCAGCAACAACAAAAGCATTAACTTATCTAAAGATGATACTGATAAATAACTTCTCTGCTTGGTATGAAGCAGATTAAGAGCAGAAAATCCACTCTCAACATTAGGAACACTTGGAGTGATAAGTAATGACAACTTAAAAAGCTTCATAATTGAAGGATATTGATTTTTATCTTTATAAAGCTCAGCATAAACTTCAGATAAAGTAATCGGATGTATTTTATGATATATTTCAATATCTTTGCTTTTCAACTCCCCAGATCGAACTTTATCGGCTACAATTTTTTTTTTGTTAGTAACTCCATCGCTTTTTGAAAATCTGATATAAAGTAACGTATCATTTCTTGGTCACAATTGTGGTCAAATTCAACTAAAGCTGCTGCTGATATTGTTTCGCCGTTAAATCAACGGTTTCAGCTTCGCTAAAATTGGTCTGAATGCTAAAAACATCAAACGATAAAATAACTTTGTCGTCCAATTTAAAAGCGACACTGATTTCTTTTTGAAAATCCTCAATAAAGGGCTTTTTGATTATTTTCTTAAACCGATTGACTCGTTCTAAAAAATTTTCTTCATCGCTTATTGCATTGTTTCCTCTTATACGGCCTCTTAAGTTATTTCTTTCCAAAATTGTTTTTAAGAAATTAATAGCATTTTCTTTGAAAAGCGGCCCATCATTGCCATTTATAGGCTGGATAGCCGCTTGTAGCTGTTGTACTTTACGGTTGACACTGCTAAATAGTAGGTTTTGAGTTTGAAAAAATGCAGACAGTCTGTTTACATGATGAAGAATATCAGCCAAAAGAAGCATGAACAAGACATTGTCAGGTTCTAAAAACTGTTTTCTTATGCCTATATCTGTCGATTCTTTGCTTTGTAATATAATGGTATCAAGTTAATCAATAAGTGACTCGAAACAAGATACAATTCTATTAGCTGCATCGCTGTGCGAAAGTCATTGAGTTTTGGCTGCTTTTAATAATTTACGTTTTTGTAAATCGTTAACAAGTAGGGATTCGGCAAATATAGAGTTTTTAATGAAAGAGTATTTGAAGGACTTCTATAGAACCAATATATTGGAATCAAATTTGTATAAACACTCATATTTAGGGATTAAGTGCACAAACACTGATGAAAGGCGGAGTTTTCTACAGTCAATATATTTTCAATGGGGTGCATAATGTTGAAACCACCTCTGCAACCCAGACCTAGAAGTTAAAGGAATTAATTTATAAATATTTGCACCTTCGGCTATGTGATAAAAAA